TATAAAAACAAGTTATTGATTTGTGTATATAAGTTATATTTATGTTATGATTATATTATTAATTTTTTAAATTATATAATGAACTTTAATTATACTAAAATCCAAAATAATAAATTATTAAATAATGAGATATAACTATACTAAAATGATTATTTATGTTTTAGTTATTATATTAATATAAAAAATAATTGCATATTAAATGTGTATTGTAATTAAATATAAAACAATTTTTATATGATTATATTAACTATGTAATTTTGTATTATAATTAAAATTTTAGAATAATTTTTATATATTTATATTAAATTAAAACATATATAAAAACTATTAAATATATCAAATGTGACAAACATGTTTGGCATGTTTTATACTTGTACTTATATGGCACGATTTAATTAAAAATATATTTTGTGTCTTGCACATGTCAAATTTACGTTGATATGGCTAAATGCAAACCACGTTTTTCTAAAACTCATAAGGTCTTTTTTTTTTTGTGTGTAGTTTTGCTATCATGTCATTGAATTGTTTTAAATTTGTTGAATAGAATAAAATCACATATTTTTCATTTATAAAAAGATTAACTCTAATTTAAAGCATATAAACTATAATATTTATATTTATTTTTAAAATATTATTTATTTTTAACTTTTTATCTTTTAACAAAAGTATAATAAAATCTGACTCAAATTCGATTAAATAATCTATTTAAATTTAATCTAATTTGATTCTAAATATTAATAAATTAAACTTGAAATGATCCAAGCACAAATGATTCAATCCCTAAATAATTCGTGTGTCAAACCCGCAATATTCAAACTAAAATGATCCAAACTTAAATTAGTCCAAACAAAAAATGACTCTAACCTAAAATCGAAATGAACCAACTTAAAATGAACCTAATTTTTTAAAGACTCGAATGATCCGAATTAAATTAATCGAACACGAACTAAGCTCGATCCACCCAATTGATGAGTTTAAAAATGACAATTGGACCATGGTTTGGATTTTCAAACTTTGTTTAGTCTTGCAAATTAAATAACTAATATATTATTATTTAGTTATTTTAATAAATAATAAATTATTTTAATTTAAAAAGATAGTTAAATCCCTAAAATAAATAAACATTTAATTAAATTATAGGAACTCCCTTGATTGTCTAAAAAAGACAAAATAAAAATCAACTTTGAGAACGCTCCTTCCAAATAATCTTGAGGTTTTTATATAATATTTTGCTGCAAAAATTTTTTTATAGAAGTTTGGTGATCATGAAATTCGTTGGTGAATGTTTATTAAATTGGTTTCGTCAATACAAAATATAATCAATCACTAAATTTCATTATATTTTGAAAGTTTATCACTTTCAATTTTTTTGTACACTTAATAAGTAAATAATACGATACGAATGAATAAAACTTAAAAAAAAAAAAGAAACACTTTTACACACCTTAAAACCTTTTTCCAAAATTTTGAATCTTTTAAAAACAGTGATTCCAGAATTTCAGATTTCGATTTTAACATTTTTAAGGTGGAGAGCTTTGACAATCTTTTGGCTAGTAGGAAGTTACTGAAAACTAGCTTAGAGAATTCAAAAGCTCTTGCCTTTGCTTTAGATGAAATTAGAATAAGATTAGCGGAGGCAAACAAAAAGTTGGTATTTTTGGAAGCTGCTATTAGGCCTAGCCCTTCCAAAAATTGCACATTTGCCGCTATCAGAGATTATACTAGTCCCTTTCTTGACACTGCTATAGCAGTTCTGAAGATCTTGGATTCCATTAGTGAACTTGAGAAGTCACTATTGTCAAGTCCATATTCTGATCGTTCCTCTTACCTTTCAACCATTAGACAGCTAAAGAAACATTAAAATTTCTTACAGCCCATATATTATGGAATGAGCATTGTTGATAGTAAGAAGGTTCCTACCAAACTTGAATTTGATGCACATTTTCCAGTTCTAGAAAATTTAAGAACAGATTTCAACTAGCTTTTCTTAGGAGAAGCTTGCATTGAAATCAAAACCGTGACAAGGGATCTCATCACGAATGTTGTTAATGGCGCTAGTGAGATTTTCTGGGAAGTTCATTCGTGTATAAGTAAAGGTGAAAAGACAAAGTTCTCCCTCGAAAGATAGAGACATTCCAAAGCTGGTAATCTTCATGATTGATTATTGTAATCAGTTGCTTGACGATAATTACAAACCAATCTTGACCCAAGTTTTGAAAATCTTTGAAGGTTGGAAACATGAAAAGGGACTTATTAATTGTTACATCACAATCTCATATTAGGAGATTCTAAAGATCTGGTATGATATATAAGTAGAGATTTAAACTCAAATTTATAAGGTGTTTTTTGTGAAACAAAATTATGAGATTTTTGCAGGAGAATATCTTACAAGTTGAGTGCGAGTCTCTACAAATAGTATTAGAGTAATTACCAGTCAAACAAGAACTAAGTACTATACTGTGAGAGTCACTTCTAAAATCTTGTGAGAGCCAAGTGTGATACAGTGGTAATCACCTCTAGAATGATCTTATAATTTTGTATGTTTTGAGTTGGGCTTGTCCAATGTTTAGTGTAATTCGGTAGATTTATGTGCTTTATATTGAGTTTGACAAAAATGTTAAGTTTTAATAGGGGAGTTGATGACATAATAATCCCACATCAAGAGATTTTAAGAATCTACTATAATAAATTGTGAGACTTTCGAATTAAAACGAATAATATCTCGCAGGTTAAATATGCGTTTTCATATTAACAATCAAATGTACAACATAGTTAGAGAAATCGCAGTTAACTTGGATGCTTAGTCAAAAGACTATGAGCAAAGGGCATTGTCCTACATTTCATCGTGAAGAATCATTATCATTTTCATTGCCTGAAACGCATGTCTAGGGAATCTATGGGAAATTCTTGGTTAAGAGTTTATGGATAGTACAAGGAATATTATTCAGCTCTCTATAGGAGAGAAAGACTTAAGGGAAACTCCAGGCTTGTCTAAGCCAATATAATCCTGTTTTATCGTCTTCCGCTGTGGGACTAAGACTATTTGTGATTTTCCCAAGAAAAAGCCAAAGGCATTCAATGAAGCCTTTGAAGACATGTACATGAGCCAGCCAAATTGAGTCATTCTCGATGAAAGCTTGAGAAAAAGATGGCTTTCGTGCCTACTTATAGAAGTTACTTGCAGAAATATAGCCTTCTAGTTGAACACAATGATACTGTAGCTATGAATGTAAAATATATAGAACGAAGCTTGGAAAACATGCTTAGCACTCTCTTTCAGCCAAAGCAAATAAATTACCAAAGCACTGTTGGCTCACACTTCACTAGTAAACAAAGAAACACTGTAACCTTATGTTTTTATCAACATAAGATTAAATTGTCCATTTTTATAAGACAAAAAAAGGAAAAAACATGGCCATTTTTTATCCTTATTCTCTTATTGAGTTCATGTTTGTGGAATGCCATAAGGATTATTGCTATCCATCCGAAACATTTGAAAAATCTAGTTGTTAGAGCAAATCACAATTTTATTGAATGGCAAATAATGTCCGTATGCATAAAATCTTATCACAGTTTGCTCCGCAAAAGAGTTAAGGATTTCATCAAACTCATGTTAATTCCAATTTGTTTGTTTAGTTTTCTAAAGTAAGAAATCAATGTTTTCTTGTCTTTTTAACCTTTTTTTTTTCAAGATTTAATTGAGTTAAAATTTTGTTAATACATTCACAACTTATTATCCTATATTTTGAATGACAGAGATAATGATTGAAAAATATTGATTAAGACATTTTTTAAAAATATTTTAAACTTTACAATAATATGACCAAAACAAATTCCTTAGCCAAGATGAGTTTCCAAATAAAACTATTATGATGATAGATCTGAATGTGGAAGGGAAGATTGTAATGTGTGTGGGGTTCAGTATCATACTTTTATTATTTTAAAAGCCCAAAAGGCTTTGTTTTTAGCGACCTAAGAGAGCACCATTTTAAATGGTGTAGGGCAGTAGGGGTTGCTTAAAAGAGTGGAAAAAGTGTGGGTCGAAAACAAGAAGAAAAAAAATGCCGGTTTGATCAAGAGGTTAAACAAAAATTAATTTATGATTTAATTGAGTTAAAATTTTATTAATATGTTTATGATTTAGTATTTTACATTTTAAATAGTAAAAATTATGATTTAAATTATTTAGAAACAAATCTAAAATGCATTTGTTGAATCATTTATTTTGTAAATTTTTTTTAATTCTCTCTAATTGTTTAGTTTTAATTTTAATTAAAAAATTTTTGTATACTCATTATTTGATAATAAAAAATAATAATTTTTTTTTTAATGATTTGTGATTATTTCCTCGATAAATTTTTCAAGTAAATTTTAATATGATTTACTTTTCATGCATTGGGTATTGATTGTTATTTATTTCTTATGAATTTATTACAATATATTACTTTTGTATTATTATTTTTGTGTTATTATATTTATTACTTCAAACAATTTTTATTCTGTCAGATTATTCGTCCAAATATCAACTCCAATAATATTCTGACGTGAAAAAAATTCAATGAACAAAATCATAAATCATGATGCATTTTTATTAGTCAATATTTACTGCTATCATTTTATCTAACACTGTTAGTCAATGGTATGAAGTAGGTATCAAACAGTATATTATTTTTTATATGTATCAAATCGTGAAAAGTAATATAATTAAAGTATCAATTCCAAATAACGTTCACCAAAAATGCATCATTTCGAAGAAAAACGAGACTGAAAAATAATATGCAAAACAAGTATAAGCTTATACATGAGACTAAAGTGAAGATGCAATTATAAGAAATGTCACCTATAAATACTGAAAGTCACTAACATTCTAAAATTACTGTCTGAATCATTAGTTAGAATGGAAGGTTAGCAGAATCCGAGATAGACATATCCTATTCCTATCTCATATCATATCATATTAGCAGAAGCAAAAAAAAAGTTCGATTAAGTAGCAACAAAAATGGACCAGAAACACTAAAAAAAGAATTGTATTGCATCCCAAAATTTTACAAGGTTCTTCAAAGAACTCAAAAGGGCTTTCAGTTAGAACTTAGAAGATACTATTGAAGCTAACAGACAGCGCATACTTCCAGGTTTAATATCAGAGGTCTATGCCAAATGGTTAAACAGAAAAAGAGAGAAGAAACTGTATAAAGTGGGGAGTAAAAGCTATGGGGTCAACAGAGGGAGCATCCTAGTTACAGCCCAACTGATGCTAAGAAGAGCCAACCTTAGAATTTAAGTTTCAATAGTGAACTATTGGCATATTATTCAACTACAACAAACACCTTTCTTCATTTCATCAGCATCTGTAACTTGTTTCACTCAGTCAAGTTAATCATATCATACCCGTAACAGCATATTTCATAATGCTTCCTTGAGATGAAACCTCCTTGCTATATCCCATGCACTGTCATATTCGTTTAGCTCAACCAACATTTCCTTCAACCGACGAGCTAGTCCCCCAGTTTCACTTTCAGTCACGCCTGATGCATGCCTTCTCTCCAATGTTTTTCCTAACAACAACACATAATCCACCAGTGGTTGCAACTTGCTTCTGCACATTTTTAAAAAATAATAATAATAACAATCATGAGACTGAGCCAAGGGAAACCTCAGAGTGAGAAGACGTCATTTTTAATGAATTCCAAATATACCAAACCCGTATCCTTGCAGTTTTGTTGTTTAAAAGGCAAAAAAGAAGGAAAACCACTGTGTTTATATTCTAATTATGCATGTATAACTTCTATGATTGAGTTTGAGTTGTGAGTCTGTGTGAGAATTTCAAGAGGCAAACAGGTTTTTAAAAGAAATAATGAGCAAAACAATGTTCGTAGCACAAGAAAGGGGGAAGGAAACAAAACAGACGAAGCAAACAATAATCCACAGGGGTAGATGGTTGGGGATGACAGGAGCAGGATGTTAGGTATTTAATCAAATTTGGAGACTATATGGCAGTGCAAAGCATAATTGGACCATGCTTGCTTAAAATTTACTCAGTTTCATTGACACACAGATGGATCATGGTGATTACAGCAGGTGAAGAGAGATGATTCAGGGAACTTAATGCAACCTGATTAACCTTTTTCTATACAGTATAACAGACACTATTAGTACCTGGAATCTCGTGAGACATTTCTGCCTGCCCACACCCCTGATAAAGAAGCTAAAATACGTTCTGTTCTTGTGACAGCATCATGAACATCTGAAGTAATGCTTCGAACATGGGGTAAAAGTTTTCCATATAAAAGCTCATCAAGAGCAAGCTTCTCTAAAACTGGCAATGCAAGGATTTCCTTCCACAAGCAGATATTTCTCATCAAACGAACAGACATTCCAAACCGATACGCAGCAACTCGAGCAGCATTTGGCACAGCCTTCATCACAAGTGGGCTCCATGTTGGGACCTATGAAATAAATAACAAGAACAGTATCAGTTAACATATCCACAAGGAAACAGATATGACAGACACACACAGGCAGCACAGATGCATTTTGCAGATGTGCACATGCACAAATGAATAAAGATATATAGATGGATACATATATAGAGGGAGAGAGAGTTAAAACACCCCAATACCATAATATCAGAGACAGCATTGCTTAGACGAGTGTGGATAGTAACTAATAATTCTGCTAATGCCTCACTAGAAGCAGGAACATAATCTATAATCAAACTTGTGGCAGAAACAGCATTCTTCGTCTCTTGCGTGCTAAGCATATCCCAGCAATGGGAAATTTCATGATGCAATACTGGAAGTGCAACCTTTTCCACTAGTGCCGGAACGAGGTTAGCATCAGCATCATTGGAGGCGAAATTTCCATCTTCAGGAAAACCATAATTGAATAGCAAATTATGCCTGCAAAAGGGAAAGAATTTCTTAGTATCATTGATAATTGAAATAGATGTAAATAGAAACCTTTAATATGTGTTTGTTCATTCTACCATACACCTCTTTTTGCCACCAGTCACAGTAGAATAAGATAACCAAGCTCATATCCCAAGATTCAAAACATGCTATTTAAGTGACATTAGCAACAGAACTGAAGTTCCTTTCTTTTTACCTTGAATGGCTCAATAGAACTCAAGTTAACTATCATTACCATTTCATATCAGAAAAATCTTCATCGCCATGGAGTGGGTCCCACTTAAGAAGCTCTAGTCTTACATATGGAGAGAAGATAGCAGGAATACTTAATGACATGTAAGCATCACGGTAGCTTGAAGAATAATCTTTCTTCCATTTTTCAAACTTCTCTTTAACAACAGAAAGCTGGGAATATTCCTCAGACGCATCACTGAAAATTTCATCTGCTGTCTGAAGCAGCATGTTGCGGTTTGACTGATATGCTGTATTCTCACTATCACTCTCATCAGTGCTTGATTCTCCTTCTATTTTCTGATAGGAACTGTCAATTTCCATGGATGATAATCTCTTAGAATCCCATCGAGCTTTCCTGCATTGACGAGCCTCGGCCCTCCGTTCCATATCCAAACGTTTCTGCCGGTTCACATCTCTACCAAATTCATCTAACTTCACCGGTAAATTCACTTTTCCTCTAATGGCAGCAGATGCAGCCTGGGCTGCATTTGTAGCGACTTCAATAATTGCAGCACTGCTTCCACGTTCACTGAAAACCAACATTGCTGCTTTCACAGCTGCTTCAACCTCCACCATTTCATCATCATTATTTGCAGATCTTCTTTCTAAGACAGCTGATGCACGTTCTTCATTAAGTTTCTGCATGTGCTCTTCAAGTTCCTCTATAAGGGGAGCTTTATGCTGAGTAGAAAACCATAGAAAAAAGTAAGTATAGTTACGCAAATAGAAAAGTAGCCTCAAGAAAGCTGAACATCTAACAGCAAGTCATTTAGAAAATTTAACATTCCTAAGACCATGTTGTGGGAAAAAACTTATTTATAGCTGATTGTAACCTTGTCATCTGTATATTTATATTTGTATCTCTAGAATTAAGTAATTGTATCCCTAGATTCCCTAGAATTAAGTATTGGTATCCCTAAAATTAAGGACAGAAAATTAGGATAGACAATCCCTCAATTATAGGATCAATTTTAGGAAGATTTAGTTTCCTAGTTTACTCACTAGTTAGTTGTATATAAACCTAAAGTGGTTGTATAATTCTTAAGAGCAGATTTTCAATATACATTCAGTTTAACTCTTAATTTTCCATACAGTTTTATTTTTAGTTTTTTCCACATGGTATTAGAGCTTTAAGCTCATCTTGGGAAGCAAATTTTCAGCCTTAATTGCTCACTTCTATTTTAGGCCTTCATAGCCATTTTATTTTTCCCTTCTTTAGCCTTCATTGCTAAGAGTCATTTCTGGTTATATCTTAAGACTTGTTTCAATTCAAAGAAAGATAACAATGTCAAAAATAACAAAATCTACTATCACTACCACCCAATTTGAAGAAGTGTCAACTAGTAAAACCACTGGAGTACTACAGATGTCTCAGGAACAAGGCGATTTGAAAAAAGAAGAGATTGAGAAGCTCAGAAGCCTATTGAAAACCCTTGAAAAGCCTACTAGGGTATGTTTCTTGGGTAAGGTCTCAAGTTCAAGTAAAGTCTCTAATTCTGATGGATTAAATGTCTCAGTTAAGCCTATTATGAGTTTCTGAGTCATTGACTCAAGAGCCATAGACCATATGACACATTCCTCACAAAAGTTTAATACACATACCCTGTGTCCTAGTAATAAGAAAATTGTTTTGTTGTTACAGATGATTCACTTACTACAGTGACAGGATTAAAAGATATTCAAATTAATCCTTTCTTGGTTCTTAAAAACGTTCTTCATGTTCCTTGATTGTCTACTAATCTAATATCTATTCAAAAACTTACTAGAGACATGAATTACAAAATGACTTCTTATCCCTCTTATTGTGAATTTCAGGACCAAAGTTGAGGAAAAAGGACTTGACTTGCTAAGAAAAAAATGGACTATACCATCTTGAGACATCAAACAATACAAGTAATATCAAGAATAATTTACCTTTCTCATTTCTTTCTAAAAAATCTCCAAATAAAGACAAAATCTTGCTTTATAATTTTCATCTTGGACATTTTTCTTTTGGAACTTCGAAAAACATGTTTCCTTTTTTGTTCAAAGGATTAAATGTTGAAAATTTTCAGTGTGATGTTTGTGAACTTGCAAAGCATAAACGTGTATCTTTTCCAATGGTAACAAAAGAAGTTCTACCCCTTTTTACTTGATTCATAGTGACATATGATGTCCCTCTACAATTCTTAGTATTTCTGGTGTAAGGTGATTTGTTTCTCTCATAGAGGATTGTACCAAGGTCTCTTGGATATTTTTACTTAAATCCAAATCAGATGTAAATAGTGTGTTTTTAGGCTTCCAAAACATAATCCAAAATCAATTTGGAGTGAAAATCAAGAGATTTAGGTTTGATAATGGAAGAAACTATTTCAACCAGAGTCTATCTACCTATTTTCAAAAAGAGGGGATTATCCACAAGTCATCTTGTGTTAATACTCTACAGCAAAATAAAGTTGCAGAAAGGAAAAACAACCATTTACTAACCACAACCCGAGCTTTACTTTTTCAAGCAAACGTACCCAAATCCTACTGGGGGGAAGTTGTTCTCATTGCCAAGTTACCTTTAAGGGTTTTGGGATTTAAAACTCCTATCAAACTACTCTCACAATTCTATCCCAACTTTAATACCACAAACAACCTCACACCTAGGATATTTGATTGTACATCATTTGTTTATGTTCACAGTCATAATAGGGGAAAGTGGATCCTAGAGCAATTAAGTGTATTTTTGTAGGGTATTCATCAACTCAGAAAAGGTATAAGTGTTATCATCCTCCTACCAAAAATTCTCTGTGTCTACAGATGTCACTTTTGAAAAAAGTAAACCATTTTTCACTCAACCTTATCTTCAGGAAGAGACTTCATTCATGGAATATAAGGATAAAAACTTCCTTTTGCTTGACTTGTCCTCTTCTTTAACATTTTCACCCATTAATTCTTCTGAGTCTAAACCTATTTCTTTTGAGTCTAAGTCAAACACTGAATTTGAGTCTGAACTTATTCCAAACACAAAAGATGTGACAAAGGATAATATTGTTCTTGATTTTATGAAAGAATTACAGGTGTGCTCAATAAGAAAAGTTCCAACTCCTGAACCGACGCAAGTCCAAAACCCTAATCCTAACTCTAGAAATTAGGTAACTATAGTCTTTGACTCTATTTTCAAAATGAGTATGAATTTCCTAATCTATAACTAGTGATTATGATTTCCCTATTGCCATTAGGAAAGGAATAGGAGAATGTACTAAAAATCCACTATACACAATCTTTAATTTTTGTGTCATTTGAAAAATTCTCACCATCCTACAAAATTTTCCTTGTGAGCCTAAACACTATTTCTATTCCAACTTAAATCATCCAAGACATTATCCAATGAGAAATTAAGGCAAGCCATGAAAATAAAAATGTAGGCCTTAGAGAAAAATAAGACGTGGGAACTAGTAGAGTTGCTTAAAGGAAAAAATCTAGTTAGGTATAAATTGGTTTTCACTGTAAAATACAAGGATGATGGTACAATTAAAACATATAAAGCCAAGTTGGTGGCTAAGGACTACACTCAAACTTATGAGTGGATTATCAGGAAACTTTTGCTCCAATTGCCAAGATGAATACAATTAAGATTTTGTTATCCTTGGTTACAAAATACAATTGGCAGCTTCAACAATTTGATATAAAGAATACCTTTCTACATGGAGATTTGGAAAAAGAAAATATATATATATATATATAAAGGTTCCACCGGGATTTGGAAGTCATCTAGAAGCAAACAAAGTATGCAAGCTAAAAAATGCATTATATGGCCTTAAACAATCTCTTAGGGTTTGGTTCGGAGATTTGCCAAAGGGATGCTAGCAATGAGATATAAGCAGAGTCAGGGAGATTACACACTGTTTATCAAGCACTAAGATTCAGGGAGAGTCACAATTCTATTAATATATGTTGATGATATAATTGTAACCAGAGATGATGAAAAAGACAGAGAATCTCTAAAACAATGTTTCGCTAAAGAATTTGAGATAAAAAAGCTAGGGAGTTTGAAATACTTCCTAAGAATTGAAGTAGCTCACTCACAGTATAGTATTTTCATCTCACAATAGAAATATGTGATGGATCTTTTGAAGGAAACTGGGAAGCTCGCATGTAAACCTGCAAATACCCTTATAAATCCTAATCATAAACTTGAAGAAGCTCATGAAGATGCTACTGTAGATAGACAGATGTACTAGAGATTAGTTGGAAGACTCATTTATCTCACATACTAGACCTAATATAACATTTGCTGTGAGTATGATAAGTCAATTTATGCATAGTTCTAAAAAAGTGCACCTACAGGGTACCTACCATCTATTACACTTGGAAGGCCAATCCTGAGAGAGGCACCTTGTTCAAAAGAAATTCAGAGCTGGTTCTAGAGGCATATACAGATGTGAATTATCTAGGTTCGCTAACTAATAGAAGATCAATGCAGGCTACTGCACTTTCCTAAGTGGTACTCTTGTGACTTGGAGGGGTAAAAAACAAAATGTAGGGACAAGATCAAGTATTGAAGCAAAGTTTAGAGTAATGGCTCAAGAAATTTGTGAATTACTATGATTAAAGATTATCCTAGAAGACTTGAAGATTAAGTGGGATGGATCACTGAGACTCTACTGTGATAACAAATCTGCAATAAGCTTTGCCCACAATCCCATGCAACATGACAGAACAAAACACATTGAAGTAGATAGGCACTTCATAAAGGAGAAACTAGATAGTGTGTTGATTTGTACATCGTATATATCAACCAAGGGTCAACTTGCAAATTTGTTGACTAAAGGTCTTAGCAATGCAACATTTAAAGAAATTATTTCCAAGCTGTAATGGAAAATACCTATTCACCAGCTTGAGATAGAGTGTGAGAAAATACTTATTTATAACTGGTTGTAATCTTGTAATCTGTATATTTATATTTGTATCTCTAGAATTAAGTATTTGTATCCTTAAAATTAAAGACAAAAAATTAGAATAGACAATCCCTCAATTATAGAATCAATTTTAGGAAGCTTTAGTTTCCTAATTTACCTACTAGTTAGTTGTATATAAACCAAAGATACTTGTGTAATTTTTAAGAGCAGTTTTTCAATATACATTTAGTTTTACTCTTAGTTTTCACACAATTTTATTTTTTAGTTTTTTCCACACATGTTAACATACAAATATCAAGCAGCATGTAGGGTGCCAACCAAGGATTTAAATTGCGGTCACGAACATTTTTTATTGTGTAGAGTTTATTGCAATTGCGAACATAATAGATATTTTTGCAATCGTTGCAGTCCTCATGATAGTAAATTTTTTTCAAATTTGCACAACTTGTTATAAAACATAGTAATTATAATTATAATCATAAAAATTCTTTTTTCATGATTTTTAAAGTAGTTAATGACACCTTATATTATTTTATTTATATAAAAAAATTATTTACAAGTTTTTGATATTATAGTAAAATATTCACATTTAGAAAACTAGCAACTTAGAAATATCAAAACAATAAAATCATTAATAAAATCCAAATAAAAATAAAAATCAGAATTAATATATTAATCATTTAATATTTTATTTGTTGTCTAAATTATAATATAATATCCCTTTCAAATTTACATTAAATTTATTTATCTCAAATTTCTCAATCTAAATCAAAATTAATTCCCAAAACATTTCAATTCTAATAAATTATTTCTCCTCTAAAATTGTTCCCCTAAATTAAAAAAAAAAAAGAAAAAAAAAACTAATCTTTGATTGGTCAAGCATTGACTGAACCTAATGCCCACTAAACTCCCCATTGTACTCAAATATTTCTCTCAATTAAAAGAGCAAATGAACCTTATTCCCCTACATCCTCCAAAAGTCTCGTTTGACTCAAATTTCTTTATGTTTTTCTCTCAACCTCTGTTTCCTATAATTCCCGCAAACCATCCACCAGCCATGGTAGCCAACTGGCCTCCAAGCTTCCAACCCCCTCCAACTTTCCATCCAATCCATGCCATGGCTCATCTGATTTTTTCTTCCATCCAACCACCACAGCCCCAAACGCCAAACTCAGGCCCATGGAGTGCTAACGGATGGGCTTTTAAAAGTTTAGTTTGAAGCAAAATCTCTCCAAGATCTAAATTCTAAGTCTTATACTACAAAAATTTGCAGAAACTTAAACAAGCAAGAACAGGTACTTTTAAGTTTTTTATTATTACTTGATTTCAAGAATTTATTTCTTGATCTTTGATTGAGGCTGGTTTTTTTACTGAGTTGTTGTAAATCTAGGATTTCTTTTCTGTGTTTGGAGTTTTGCTTTGTTAATCTTTAATGCTTGATAATGGAAAAAAGTTTTTTTCTTATATTAAATTCTGAAAAAAAAAAGAGGAATAGCGCTGATTATGTCCCGCTATTGCTATTATTCACTGATATAGCCTTTTTTTGCAGCCGCAATGAATTGCTAGACACGTGAATTTTCTTCACATCCAATATTGGTTGAATAGAGGTGGCGAAAGGTCTCAATTCTGGGAAATAGCTGTTGCGATTCCGCTATTGCTCCGCCATTTGAATATAAGGTGCCAACCAAAGTGCTCAATGGGTCCACAAAATCTTCTGCTTTTTCCAAATACATCAATGTTGAACATGTGAATTGATGGAAATTGAAATTAAAAAAAAAAAAATTTTGAAAACCAATTAATGACACAAGAATGGAAAAAGTTGATCGACGTATTAAATTATTTACTTTTAATACTTTGTTATACTTTTATGTTCTTTCTTGTAATTTCAAGTTTTTAGCTTATTTTAGGTTATATTTGATATTTTGCATTTATGTTAAGTACTTTTTGCTAATTAAGTTTTCACAGCTGTCGATAACCGAGAAATTGAGATTTGTGACTTTGAGTATTTACATTAAAGTTTTGTGATTTTGACAAAAGAAAGTTCAGATTATTTATTCGATGTTTATTTGAGATCACTGGTGCTATATGGACAAATCTTGTGTACCGGTGTGTATGTGTGTTGTGTGTGTGTCTATAAGTACAAATGGGTTAAAACATTAAAATGTAAAAGGACATTAAATTTTATTATATCTTTAAATCATTCTTTCTCAATTTTACATATAATAGAAAAAGGTTATACATAGAATTAATATCTAGTTAGCAATTGAGATTGATATGAATTCAATAAAAATGCATTTACAATTCATTATATATACTTATAATTTCAGTTTATGTATTTTCTAATTTTGTTATTATTAAAATTTTTTTGTTAATAGGAGTTATTATTAAATATTAAATCACTTATAATTTTCAAAAATAAAAAATAAAACTTGTTTAAAATTCAAAATACACACACTCACAGTAACACACACACACACACAGAATATAACTATAAGATCCAGAACAGATATCTAAAGTAAGGAGGATATTGGCACACAGAAAAAATAGGTCATAGAATTAGATAAAGGCGTACCTGCAAAAATTCACATATAACAGAAACAAAATCACGAAGCTTTTGCATAAAGATGAACTTCTCACCGGCAGCAGATAAAGATTTTTCAAGTGCTGTGATATTAAAAAGCGAGGCTGACAAATTTTCATCAGCCTTAGTCAATGATGAAGTGGTTCTGGCATGAGATTCCTGGTAAGGGAAAAAAAGTGATTAGGTAAAGTAATTCATACATTTTTAACCAATTTACAAGGAACACTGTTTGTTGACATAAATGGTGTTCGGCCTAGGTCATGAAAGAGCTTTTCCAAGCAAGGTGTTTGGCTCTCAGAATTTTAAAAATTTTAGCTTATGCATGAAGGACAATTGAGCTTTTAGACAAATCCATTAATCGAAGCTTCTCCAAAAAAATGCTAATGTATACTAACAAATATTTAATGATTATACTATTCACATTCATCTTTTTATTTAGTCCAATATTTCTACTGATTTTACTTTTTATTTCTAATTAACAAAATATCTCTTTATTTTATTTATTTCTTTCGTATAAAAACTTGTGATTTAGTTTAATAAAGTCGAGTTGATGTAGGATAAGTAATTCACACTAATTCATTCATCAAAAAGCCTCCTAAAACTATTACAACTTAGGTATTTATAACTGAACCTAAACCTTAATATAAACTTAAAGTACCAATTATAACCCTAAAGCCCTAATTTTTAGAAAAGAAGTAAAATACCAATAAATATAAAATAACCTAAATGATCTAAAATAGCCTAAATAAATAAAGATTATGATCAAACTCATAAAATATAAAATAAGTCCTAAATAACACAATCAATTGTCTAGCATATATCCTTTCTCCATCTTGAGTATTTTATTTCTTCATCTATTAAAAATAGGCAAAAATACTACTATCAAATAGTTTTCAATATTCTACTGCACTTAAAGGTTAAGTTTGCTAAACCCATTTTAACTTCTCTCCAAAAAAATTTTAGAATAGCTTTAAATTAAAACCATCAGCTGGATCAAGGAGCAAGAAAAAGCTTCTCACACTATTCATTTGAAAAGGATTGAAAAAAGAGCTCCAGTATTTTTTTTTAAAGGGTCTGTAAGGAACATTTAGAAAAGAAGAGATGAGGACTGAAGGGAAACATATATGGTTAAAACTTCCAAGGGCATCTTCGAAATAGCTTCAAAATTTGGTTTTTCTTTTAATTAAAAAAAAAAAAAAAAACTAATTTTGTAGCAAGAAAGAGCAAGAATAAATCTGTTTATAAGTGGGTTCTAAAACAACATTCAATTTCCTTGATTCATTCATTACACAAATCTGTCATGCATTCTAACCAACTATACAAGCAAAAGCTTGGACTTCTCACAAATGATCAACAGACATAGGAATTTTGACTACTAAAACTCAACTAATGACCTTGAGAAAACCTGAAACTTAAATTGAGCTAAAATATATCCCTAGAGAGTAACAACCAAAATTTAGGCCAGTTGACAAGAATAAGATTAGGAAAAAGTACCTCAAAAAGTAAGTTATAACTAAATAAACTAAAAAAGTTTTGGATGATGACACAAACAACCAACAAAACAACTGACCATTTGACTAAAAAGGCATCCTTGTAATGATAAAATTCATGGTTTTAGATATAATCCTGCATATTGGACTTTCCTCTTACACTATGTAGCATGATGGTCATTTCATACTCATTATGCATGCTGCAGATTTAAAGTTAAAACTTGAAACTTCATGAGTATAATGAGCTCGTTACGTAATTATGCGGTTGTAGAAAACCCATCAAGAACTTGATGCAAAAGTTGGAGCTAGGAGCCCTTCCGTTCTAATCTTGATTGTCATTCAAATCTCATTTTGGGATCAAAAAGCTATTTATGAGTTTTACACATCTCATTATCATCCAAATCCCATATTGTTTCATGGAAAATAATATATACCAGTCCTTAGATGCTATCAGTCATAAGCAGTGCAAGGCTCTATGTAAACACCATAATAACAACACTCGGGAAGAAATTGCTTTGGAACTCAAATATACTACACCATCAAATCTTGCAATCTCATTCAAACTCTCAAGCTAGCAAAAGTAAAATATGTCAAACACACATTTACTTAATGTGAAATCACAAAGAAACATGGCAGCAGCAATTCCTCAGACAATCTCCACACTAAATCAATTACCAAAAGTCATTCAAATCCTCAAAACTCTAATGACTGGCGTTTCACAAATAAGAACAGACATCTAGCAAAACTTTTGATTCAAACCTATTAAGGAAACCTACATCATGGCACAGCTTTTCCATTGGCTTGCCCCTCCGCCTCAACTTCTAAATGATTAAAGATTGGAAAACAAAACTAAAACCATAGAAGTTATAGTTTCTAGAAGCCTTCCAGCTTTAGAAAACTTCCAAAATATCAAGACAATTAATCTGTTTTACCAAGACAATAACATAACACACTTATGTAAAATGAAATGCCTGGAAAATTGACTCCTCATTTCTGTAACTATACTTACCATGTTCTTCCAACTTCCAGTTAGCTTAGCCCTCGGATTTAGATTAAGGTATTATTACTTCTCATAGAAACTGTTCGCAACAACAAAATGAAAATAAACCAACTCATATCCTACTCCTAGGTAATAAAAAGAATATCCAATATAAAAACCATAAAGTACCACCAACTAAATCAATTTGATTTCTATTTCATACTCTCTAAAGATACAAGTAGAGAACATAGGGTTACCTTAAGCCTCCTAACATTCTCTTGTAAAGCTTTCTTAGCAATCTCAGCTTGTTGAGATATTGACGTAACATCTAAACCTTGAGAAGCCCCAGTTGCTCCAAGAATGCTTGAAGGAGGAGCTGGTGACACGCTAGGCATCATCAATCCGTATGAAGCCATTGTGGAATATCCAAACCCTTTCTGGTGTTGCTGCTGCATATCATGAACCATAGCAACGCCGGCTCTATTATTACTGCTACTACTACTAACAACCCGATTAGAACCATCATCCAACCTCTTTCCTAATCCTTTCCGAAATTGCTCTTCTTCCCACATCTTCTCCTCCTCATCATCATTATCCTCATCAAGAATCCCAGCTTTTCTTGAAACTACACCCATTGCTCTCTCTTCAACAACCTCAAACACACCCTTTTTCCCACTTTCACCAAACAATCCCCCTCGAAACTCTGGTTCCTCCTCATCACTTAACTCTTCTTCCACACCTCCAACATGATTGCTCCCAGTATCCAATGATATATAATCAGGAGCAGGCCTTGCAAAAGACTTCCGAACGCGGTCCTTCTTCGCTTTGATAGCATCAATAGTTGCCTGGTCCATAAAAGCCGAAGAACCCAGATCCACCCCTTTACCAATCGCCATCGTTGCCAACCTAGACTCTGCGTCGTCTTTATCAAGTTTCTCTAGAGAGTCATTATCTGGCTCGGAGTTTAAATTTTGGGATTGGGGTTTGAGAAGGCCTTTAAGGACAATTTTAGGCTCAGATGAAAGAGAGGAAGCGCGTGACGACGGGGCGGCCAGGGTGCGCGTGTTCTTTTGGAGCTCAAGTAATGTTTCTTTGGTGTAAGTCCCAGCTTGGGGTTGGACATTGGAAGGTAAAGGAGAAGGTTTTTTCCGGTCTTTCGTGGAGGTAATCTTGTGAGAAGATGAGGGTTTGGAAAGACGAGAGGAAGAAAACGGTTTTTCTCTTTCCTTATCTCTGTTTCTATTCGAGGAGGCTTTGGTTGTTTGTTCATCATTTTCGTCGTCGGCGAAACTTAGGAGTTTCGGGGGTTTCTTTGCGGCGGGTTTTGAAGAAGAGGGGTTTTTTGTAACGGTGGCGGCGGTCGGGGTATTGTTATCATCGTTTCCATTGCCATCGTCGTCGACCTCATCCGCACGGCGGCGGAAGTTTCTGGCTCTGGTGGCGCTGCTCATGGTCAGATGTGGACGGGAAACTGAAATGGAAATCGCTCGAAACCGGTAAAGATAGAATAAGAGGGTTTTTTTCTCTCAAAGGTACTGCATAAAAAACCACGAATAGGAGACCATGCGGAGGAAAGAGAGGGAGCGGTAGCGGAGCTCGATCAGAATCAACAACTTATGGTTAACAAAACAAGGGGAAAATTACAGCAACTCATTCCTGAAATTTGAACCCTCGTCTAATTTTCTTAAATGTACACTTTTTTTTTCATATTTATTTATCATATTTCTTAAAAAAATTATCTAATAAAAAATAATAAAATAAATGGGAATGAAATGCAAATATTTTAAGAGTTTATATTTGACGAAATGTTAGTGTATAAATTTTATATATTATTAATAAATCAAATGATTACAAATTATTAATTAATAAATATAAATTTTTAAAATAATTATATAAAATTATAATTTTAAAAAATTTACTCATTAATGAGATAACATCATTTAATTCACTTCACTAATGAAGTGATATTATTTGATGCACTATCAAAATATAAATTTATTAACAATATATAAAATTTATATACTGACAATATATCAAATATAAACTTATATTTTAATTAATTTTTTTCTTGTAAAATTAATCCAATAAAAAATCAAAGGATGAGAAAAGGGATAAGGGATAAAAAAATACAAAAAAACAAAAGGAAAAGACTTCATAAAGTTATCAAATTTCCTACATTAAGGTAAAAATATTTTATTAATATAATACATATATATGTATAAACTAAATAAAAAATAAAATATATATCGAAATGAATTAGGACAAATCACTGTAAATGTAGTGTCAACTTGATTTTTTTAAAAAAAAAATTAATTTGTTTCAACTCATTCTTAATTTAAAAAATCATCATTCACCTAATTGAAATAGATCGAAATTTGTCAGATGTGGATCGTTTTGGCATTTTTATAATTAGCACATTTGCTACTAAGTTTATCTAATTAAAAATATAAAAAAATAAATAGATAAAAACCCAAATGAGATGATATGTGGACACATTCATTGGTTTTTTTTTCGTAAAATAACTTTAATTAAAAAAATAAAAAAGAAAAAGAAAACTCGTTGGGTATTACATAGACATCCCAATTAAGTTAGGACTTATCATATGCAAATTATTTTATCATTTCTATCCATAAGCTCCTTTAGTCATTAAATTATCTAATTTTAAAAGCTAAATGGAAAGAAAAAAAAAAAGCAAATATAGGTGCCATGCGAGCACATATATTTTTTTAACAAAATTTATCTAAATTTAAAAAGATTTTAAAACAAAAATATAAAAAAAATTGAAACATAAGATTATATGTCTAGATATTGAATAAAAATCATACAAAAATTAAAATAAGTCAAATTTATATAATAAATGTATAGATGGATTACATCTTAATTACATGTTAATATACTATTTTTATTAAATTATGAATTAAATAATAACTTTATTAAGATAATACATATATAAATATATAATTAAAAATATAATTTAATTTATATAATCAAGACAAGATGAAACACCATAAACCTGCATTAATTTGATTTTAATTTTTTTTTAAGAAAAATTTGATTTGATCCCAAACAAAAAAACACACCTATCTGATTCGAATGAATGAAACCCATCAGATAGAGATTGTTTTATTATCCATACTTTCATCGATATTTTTCTTTAAAAATTTATTAATTGATTGCTTTTTTTGTAAATTATCACTATTTTTTTTAAATACCTAAAAAGGTAAAAAAAAAAAAAAGTGTAATGTGTATACATACAATTACTTTTTTTTTTTAATTATCTAACTAAAAATTAAAGAAAGAAAAAAAGTTAAAAAAGATGAAAAAGCAAAAAAAAAAAAAGTCAAATTGCTACGTGACATTAATAATGATAAGTTTTCCTTACAAAATTTATATTGTAGATTAATATTTTTATTTTACTTTTATTTCTCTTTTATATTTAATAATTTTTTTGTCATATTTTTTATAGGTCAATTTGATATTATCGATTAAAAATATCATTATCTAAATTCTTTTTTTATACTCTAAAACTAAAAAAAATTAGAAAAAATACAAAAAAAATCTAGATGCCATGTTTACTTTTTTGTTAATATATTTTTTATAAAATTATTTAATTATAAAAAAGTACAAATAATGAAAAAATATTTTTAATTAATAATATAAAATTGCCCCTACAAATAAAAATAAAAAATATTTAAAATATTTATTAAATAGAAAAAAGAGGAAAAGAATAAAAAGATAAAATTTAAAAATAAGAAACTTGAGTTGGCATATAATATCAGAAATGATAAGTTTTTTTTTTCTTTTGAAAAATCTATGTCATGAATTTAGAAAAACTAAAAAAAAAAAAAACGAAAGAAATAAATCAAATTTGAATGCAACTCAATATCTCCATTAATATCTATTTAAAAGAAATTATCAAATTAATAAAAGAAAGAGTAACAAAAAAAATATTTTAATAATAATATTGAATGGACCCAACATTAAAATATTTAAAATATTTAAAAATTATTTACTAAATAAAAAATAAGAAATATAAATAGAAAAAAATAGAAAAAATTAGTTGTCTTAACATGTGAGATATCCTTGGGGTATAAAATCAGTCTCTTTAAAAATGAAGTCTAAAACATTTATTTATTAAATATATAAAAAAAAGGAGCAAAATTTAAAAATTGAAAAACAAACAAACACGTGAAAAACACTTGATGTCAAATAGGTTTAATACAAAAATAAAATAAAATATTCAAAAAAATTTATCAAAAAAAAAGAAAAAATTGATATAAAGTGGTTTTATAAAATAAAATTTCTTATTAAATATTAAAAGACACGTCGCACCCAAGCTAAAAATTAGAAAAAAAGAAAAGAAGGTTGGTCCAATGAATAAAAAGAGAACTTACAAAAAAATATTTAAAAAATAGGCTTGCTAAAAATTAAAAAAAGTATGAACTATTTTTTTAAAAAATAAAAATAAACACATGTTAATAAACCAAAACAAAATGAAGGGTTGACACATGGCAACAATGTTGCCCATATAATTGCAAGATTTATATTATGAATTTGCTTTAAAAATTCATTTGTTGAGTGGTCTAATTTTATTATTAAATATTTTTATTAGTAGTGTAAATATCATCATACTTCTAATTTTTGTGTAAATTTACTTTTATCAGTTTTTTGATAAATACTATTATGATATTTTTAATTTTAAAACAAAACATAATATTGATAAATATTTGTTAAAATTTGTTTAAAAAATAAATTTGAAAATCACACGATTGATGAAAAAAATAGCTCTTAAAGGTTAAATGTAAAATTATATAATTTGAGCTATATATCAATTGACAATTGCCACTTAATTAATTTATATAAACATTTATCTTTTCCAAATAATTTGGTTTGAAGATTTGAGTACAAGATTAGAAGGAATCAAATTCAAAACTTTGTCTAAGATAAACCTAGGCTCTATTTATCTATATATTCTATTTGTATTATATTATATCATCACCTTAAACTTAATGCAAATATAAATTTTATGAATAGTTTGAATGTTTCATGTTGTTATGCATGCATGCCTCTAAAAAGATAGGTTAAAGGATCAAAAAAATTATCGAACAAAAATTCAATAACCATTTAAGTCTTTATCATTTTATTACAATCAATTATGCATTTAAACATATATTTTCACCAATTTAATGCTTATTATATAAAAATTGGTTAACCTTCAACTCTTATTTTCATCTAATCAAGTGTTCAATTGATGTGAAAATAAATGTTTAAGGGTTCAAATGAGTTGAAAATAGAAAATCCAAAGTTTGATTGATTATAATGAAATATTAGGGGCTTAAATGATTATTGGATTTTTATTTAAAAGCGTTGTTACTTTTTTGCCAAAAAATACAACTGAGCTAACAATCTTAGTGGTCCATTGAACATTAAAAAAAATTCATAATTCAAAGATACAGTTTACAACATTCATAGGAAGAGCAAATAACTAAAACATAAAAAAATAAAGCATGGAAATAAATCTAATATATATAAGTTTAAAATACTAAAAAAACTTTTGAACTATTCCATGTTTTTTAAAAAAGCCTCTAACTTTTATTGTATTTAAATAAGTTTTTATCCTTTGGTTTGTATCTATATAAGCCTTGATTTCAAAATTTATATTAAAAGATTATTTAGGTACAATTAAATGTTAAAAACTGATTTGGATACAAATTAAATGTTAAGAGCCTATTTAGGTATAAATTGAAGGTTAATGACTTATTTGCATTTAATAAAAGTATAGGGGTTTATCTAAATAATGTGATAAGTTTAGGGTTTTTTGTTATTTTAATCTATATACAATCCTCTATCACAAGATCAATCCTTATGTGGTTTTTTACCTACAGATCAACTCACACTTTCAAAGGATCGATATTTTGTAAAATAGAATGCTCCCATCAATTTTGAAACATGAAATGACCAATTTTTTCATCAAAAAGATTAATCCCTTGGTTTTTAACATTTAAAATTTTAAATTTGAAGCAAAATATCAATCTCTTGAAACAAATGATCAATCAACTTGCATAGATCAATTTTAAATTAGCTTGAAATTAAAGGTTGCAATAGCTATTTCTCACTCTTAATCATTCACAATGGTTAGAAATCATATCCCACTATAAAAAGAAGCTTTCAACACCTTTTAAGAGTAAGATACACCATTCCAAAGATTTGAAAGTTGATATTTTTCATTTTAAGAATGTTCTAGGTGTTCTTAAGCTTCTAGACTTATTCTTTGTATTCATTTGTGATCTTTTCATTGAATTATATCTTCAATATTGTACCATGTTAACTTAAACATAGCCTTGCAATCTAATAAGGGTGATTTAAATTGAAATTAAAGTATAATAAACTTGAAATTAAATAGAGGATAAAGGATAAAAAATGCAAACACGACCATTTATAGAGGTCTTTCCTTAAAGAGTTACATCATTTCCCTTAATCTTCCTTGCCAACGAACCTAATCCACTGATTTTTTAGAGTAAAATAAATTACTGGTTACTTTACTATGGTCATGATTTTAAAATAGTCACCTAATTATTTCGATTTAATCACTAAAGTTTGAGTAAGTGTTTTTGTCACTAAACCATTAATCTTTAATTGCATGGTAATATGGCAATACCATGTCAATTGTTAAGTGCTAGGTGCAAAAGTTAAGTTTTTTTTTTA